GACATTAAAATTTGCAAAACAGAAAACCAAAAGCGAAAAACCTTTCGAGACCAAGAGCAAGCATCTGGCGAGAGCAGCAGATTGGACACACCTCAACGGCGGGCCGCGTTCTCCGGAATGGAGGATCCGGACTGGAGAATCCGGACCTCGCACTCCGTACTCCTCACTCCGGACTCCGTACTTCCCCTATCGGACTTGCCCGCACCCCAAGTCCCATCCCCAATGCCCCACGGACTGGCCGCCCGCAGCTGTTGCTCGCTGCTCGCTGCTCGTAGTTTGCATTTGTAATTGCTTTCTCTTGGCGTCGCTTTTTTATAGTTTACCTTGTTTTATGGTCCACCAAGTTGTTGGCTCCCCCGGTGCCGTTTCTGTTGGTCCTGCTGCCAAAAGTGAAGGAATCCAGTGCGAGTGCGAGTGGTGGCCAGCAAGTCGAAACAATCAGCCCAAAGTTTGCCTTGACTTGTGCCACGGCGAGCGAATGAAAACAGAAAGTATTGTTACCGTATTTGTCAATAAAACGAGTACTTTGCCCACTGAAACACTTTCGGGTTCCGCGGAGAGAAAGGAGTCTAAAGGAGCAAAAGTTCTGTGATTTAACTTTAATGATTTCCACTCGGCTCGGGGACAAGTGCCTTAAATAACGTGTATGTACGTGGCTCCTAATTGGATTGTTCGACAGGTAGTTCAAACTTTCCCATTCTTCTTGGCATTTAAGCCGCTTCGATGTCATTATAGAACGCGACTACTGATGCTGCATAAGATATGCGTCCATTGTCCACTCCCATCACAAACAGGAGAAAACAATGCAGCTGTCATGGGCCTAATAAGCATTTGACCAGCTCACTTTCCCAGGATCCGACTCGATTCGACAAAGGGCATGCAATCCGGCAATTTAAGGCCTCAGGTTGAGGTGAGGTTGAGGTGTTTGCAGCCCAAAGCCTTTGGGAAGTCCTCTTGCCTAAGCCGTCTTTACAATTTCCCACTTGGCGGAATTATCCCATGCGAATGGCACGGCAGAAAATCCTACACGGTTCAAAACAGTTTGGTTCAATGGTGGGTTTGAAGAGATCTTGAATTACTCATCTTGAACTACTTATTGCTGCCCTGCATTATTCGATAACCTACATTTTTCAGTGTCAGTGAAGCAGGAACCTGGGAATCGAATAAGCATGCCGGGCAATTACAGGCCAAAGCCACATCAACTGGGCACAAACAATAAACGCCTTTGTTCCAAACAAAAGCATTGATCTCGGGCTAGATGCCTGGTGCCTCACCTCAGGATAATATGATAGGTCTCTTATTACTCGAACATTTAATTAACCAGGGCAACCGAGTGCATGGAATAACTTAAATGCAAATCTGTCCTTGCGTTTAATTCCTCGCCAAATGTTCTCTTTGAATCAATAAGCAACCGTCAACAGGATTGTATATTCTGTTGAGTGGACTTGAAAGTGTGTTTAAAAGTGCAGAGGAAGTGTTGTTCGAGGATCGCTTTTATGCTGCCGAGCTATCCTATCCTATCCCCTCTCATTAAAATGAACCTGCGGCAAAGTTTTGCCAGCTCTAACAAAGAGCATTACAATAAAACCCGGAGAGCCGAAAGCAAAAGGCACAAAGCACTTTTGGCACTTGACAGACGACAACCAGGACGGGAATTGCGATGGGGATGGGGATGGAGATGGGGATGGAGATGTTGATGATGAGCACTCGGATGATGTCCCCAGACCAGAGTCCTCCATCCAGCGTCCTGTATCCCGACTCCAACTGTGAATGCGTCTGCGTCTGTCAGTGGGACTGCGAAAAGACATTCGAGTGTCACTTGTGCAGCAGTTTTGAATATTTTGTGAATAGTAAATTACGATCATGAGACCACAGACTGCGGCAATCATGACTGATGGGGGGCAGGGACTTGGGAATGGGATTGGGGATGAGCAGTGCGATGGGGATGAGTCCCCAGATTCTCGTTGGCTCGAGGAGCTGCCCTGTTCTCGGCTCTGCACGCATATTCATTTGGAAGGCCTTCATCGGCCTGAGCTGCACCGTGGCAACTTTTGGCTGCCAGCTCTTCATTTGTATGCCTCCTTCGTCCTGCGCCCCCAGGATGTGTGTGTACCCAGTCAGCTGTGAAAGTGTGAATATTGCGGCTTGTGTATTGTTGGCCGGAAGCAACCATTTTTATGTCCTGCAGTTTTTACAAGGCCCCTCGACTCCGTATCCTCGGGGAAAGGAGGTAGCTAGGCAGTTGGCCATTTGATTAGGCCTGGCTCGCAGCTAATTGCACTGAAACTGAGATTCTCGGCCCTGCCGGAATGCCAAGTCTGCTGCCTCAGGTCCCCAGCTTCCTGTACCCGTGAGTATTTTCCCAATGAGTTCTCTCTCACTTCCCCTTTTTTAATGTTATCCGATTATAAGTTGGAAAACTGTTCATTGCAATTTTACTTGTGCTAGTGAGTTGCGTTAAGATGATCTATTCAAATCCAAAAAAAAAAAAAAAAACACCAGCCCATTAAAATTGTTTTTATATTTGCAATTGGCTTGCAGCTCTACTTTGGCTTCTTTAACAATTCGTTCACCCTTGCTGTTCCTTTTGCCGAGTATTTATCATGTTTATTACCCTTCGCGTGCTTGCTTTGACCTGATTCGGGAGGTATATAGCTATATAGTTGGATTCACATACCGGAGAAAATACATATTTATGGCTAACCTGCGACCCCCTGGCTGCGGTTAATAAAGTTTTGCCAACTCCTGCAGTTCGCCTATGTAAGTCACTTGTTTGTTTACGTACATATAGCACATATAGCACACACAGCATATCTGTAGTAAAAATATTATATGAATTCTGTATGCAGGACAACACACAGTGTCCTTTATCGACATGCAAAAGGGTGTCAAACGAATTAAATTCCCAGTTAAATCAGTTATTCGCCCACACAGAATGGTGGCAAAACAAAAAGTTGAGCATAAAGTGTCAACTGTGTTTGTGTTTAAACTCCTGTGCCTGTGCCTGTGCTGAGTTCTTTGATTTAAATTACGTTATTAGGGGTTCATTCTCCGAAATGTTTTTATACCCTTGCAGAGCAAAAGGGTATTATAATTTCAGTCAGAAGTTTGCAAGGCAGTGAAGGAGACACCTCAGACCCCATAAAGCATATATATTCTTGATCAGCATCACGAGTTGAATCAGAATACGTCTGTCCGTCTGTCCGTCTGTCCTCCTGTCTACGCAAACTAGTCTCTCAGTTTTAAAGCTATCTTGCTGAAACTTTCTCAAAAAGTGTGTAGTTATTGCACGCAGTATATAAGTCGGAATGGGCCGGATCGGCCGACTATATCGCATAGCTCCCATACGAGAGAATGAAATAAAAAATTCTCAAGGCCTTGTTTTTGGTCAGATCGCCCTGATTTCTTCAAGATAGCGTTTTCTATTCCCACGAGCATGATTTTTTGAATATAAAGTTTTTTAAAAAGTTTCATAAAAATCGGACAACTATATCTTATAGCTGCCATAGGAAAGATCTAAAAATCTATATAGAAATAACGAAAATAAAATTATAACATCGTTGTTTTTTATCAGATAAGCATGATTTTTGGAATATAAAGTTTTCTAACGACTCTTAATTTACGAATTAAATTTGATCAAAATCGGACAACTATACCATATGATCTATAGTCGAAAATATGGAAAATCAATAGAAAAATCGTCTTAGCTTCGATGTTGTTTAACTTTTATGCATTTTGTTCGACATATTTGATGACTGCAAGGGTATATAAGCTTCGGCTTGCCGAAGCCAGCTTCCTTTCTTGTTTAAAACTATACTTTGTTTGTCTATAAGTCCTTTCTTGCCCAAACAACACAGAAAAATCTTTTAAAAAATGCAATATGAAATTTTGCCATTTTTCGCAAAAAATGATGATTGTCAACTGATCTTTCCCGAATCAGTTTTTATGAACTAACTAAAGGATCAGTTAAATAACAATTAAATTGCATTCGGTGGCATGAATAGTTGGGCTTTTCTAGTTTCCAAAACTATAGGTACTTTGTTTGGCTGTAAGTTGTTTCTTGCCCAAATAACAGACAAATTACCTATGGAAAAAGTTTTTTTTTGCCCAAAACTACAAAAAATGGCTTTAAAAAACCCAGTTTTTTTGCATTATCTAAGGAAGTACGCTTCCAAATGTGGAATGGCATACATCGTTGAATTCGCAATAAAATTTCCTATCCGATGATATAAACACCCAAAAAAGTTGAAATTTTGCCATTTTTCGCAAAAAATGACGATGTTACCCCTTATGAAAATTGCAAAAATTGGCCAAAAATCATTTTTTTTGAATCGTCCAAAAAGTGATTGGGCTCGTTAACTGTGGTCATAAGGTGCTCAAAACAGTGTTTGGTTCCGCTGTAAGTCACTTTTTGGCCTTATTACAACCAAAAAACCACTCAAAATATAGTGTTTTCTACCGGAATTGTCAACTGATCAGTTTTTATGAACTAATTAAAGAATCAATTAACTATAACAATTAAATTGCATTCGGTGGCATGAATAGTTGAGCTTTTCTAGTTTCCAAAACTATACTTTGTTTGGCTGTAAGTTGTTTCTTGCCCAAATAACAGACAAATTACCAATGGAAAAAGTATTTTTTTTTTGCCCAAAGCTACAAAAAATGGCTTTAAAAAACCCAGTTTTTTTGCATTATCTAAGGAAGTACTCTTCCAAATGTGGAATGGCATACATCGTTGAATTCGCAATTTCCTATCCGATGATATAAACACCCAAAAAGTGGAAATTTTGCCATTTTTCGCAAAAAATGACGATGTTACCCCTTATCAAAAATGCGAAAAATGAAACCATCAATCATTAGAAATACAAGTATAAAAAGAAAAGACTAAATGAAGTTAGTTTTTGTTTTTACTTTTTTGTTTGCCAATTTTATTTCGTTAACTAAATCGGTTTTCTCTTCCATAAATTAATTAAATATTTTTGTTTTATTTTTATTTATAGGTGGAAACTTCCCGTATTCGGCCTGCTTCCAAGCGAGACGCCAAGAAAGGGCAGAATGCGGCAACGACAGCGAGGGAATGCACTGGAGGAGACTCTGAAGACTCGATGTCAGCGAAGGTACCAGTTATCTTCCCGGAACGTATTTCATTCGCCTTCGATGAGGAGAGTGCTAACTAAATTATTAAGAGTTATATTAAGACATATTGTAATAATAATAATTTTAAAACATGTAATAGTATAATATATAATAATAATAAAATGATACAATAACATAATAAAAAAATATAATATAACGATTACGAACTTTCATTTTATTTAATATGTAGTTGCATAATAAACGAGAATAAAAATGAGATGACATGATTTTTGTTTGTTTTATGGGCCAAATCGGTAAATTCGGGGGACCAAATACCAGGCGAACAGAAAGGCCTAGTAGGTGGCTGCAAAAACCATATAAACATAGCCGAGTTTCAAACCCAGTGGATCATGTCAAGCAGTACGCTCCACAAATGAAAAGTGTTGCATATCTTAGGGGGCTTCCAAATTTGTAGAATACTTATGGGGGCTCGTAGACAAAACGTGGTGTTGCTCTTGTTTATTTTTTATAGCATACTTTTGCGGGCAATTTGAAAATATTAAAAAAAAAAGAGTAACCACCTACTATTGCATTCTGTTCGCCTGGTACTTCAAAATGAGGTTTGGTTGAATATGTTGGTATTGGTGGAACGAATTCGAAGGGACAAATTGTAGCATACTTATGGGGGCCAGTAGACAAAACGTGGTGTTGCTCTTGTTTATTTTTTATAGCATACTTTTGCGGGCAATTTGAAAATATTAAAAAAAAAGCGTAACCACCTACTATTGCATTCTGTTCGCCTGGTACTTCAAAATGAGGTTTGGTTGAATATGTTGGTATTGGCGGAACGAATTCGAAGGGACAAATTGGAAAATCCACTTTTAGGTACCAGGCGAACATAATCCATTAGTAGGTGGAAATGGACAAAATTTTTGGAAAAGTTGCTAACTGACAGAAGCTCTATGCTACTAATTGCTTACTGACAGAAGCTGTCTGCTACAATTAGGGGGCTGCATTTTCAGCCAAAATCAATACCAAATAATTGCTTACTGACAGAAGCTGTCCGCTACAATTAGGGGGCTGCATTTTCAGCCAAAATCAATACCAAGCCCAAACAGACATCACATGATAGATCCTTCCAAAGCTTTGATTGCTACATATGCAGATGACATTGCAGTCATCTACAATTCCAGATGTCGGAGGGAAGCAGCAAATGGAATACAAGAATACCTTAAGGATCTTTCTGCTTGGTGTAAACGTTGGAATATGAGAATCAATCCGCAAAAAACTACGAACCCCTGCTTTACACTGAAGAGACTTGTATCTAACACCCCTGAAATCCAGCTAGAGGGAGTCAGTTTGGAACAGCCGTCGCAAGCAAAATATCTTGGTATCACACTGGATAAGCGCCTTACGTTCGGACCACATCTGAAAGCAACAGTCAAAAAATGTAACCAAAGGATTCAGCAACTGCGTTGGCTTACACACAGAAGGAGCACTTTGCCGCTGAGATGCAAGAGGGCAGTATATGCATTCTGTATCCTGCCAATCTGGCTTTATGGTATTCAAATTTGGGGGATCGCAGCCAAATCGAACTACAAAAGGTTACAAGTGTTGCAGAATCGGTTTCTACGTACCATTACTGACTGTCCCTGGTATGTGCGTGGCACGACACTTCACAGAGACCTAAATCTACACACTGTGGAAGAACAGATTGGGAGACACACAAGCCGATACCGAGATAGATTAGAAAGACACCGCAGCTTACTGGCTAGGAATCTACTCCCAGCGAGACCTTTGAGGCGTCTCAAAAGGCAAGGCTTTGCCAAGACGATAAGGAATCAATAAGAAAATACTATATATAATCCTCTTCTTAATGCTGAGGTTTGGTTTACTTTTCTCATTGGTGACACCTGTGTTGTTAAGTACTTTAATTTGCTGTACAGATTCTGCACTAAATAAATAAATAAAGAAAAAAAAAACTGACAGAAGCTGTCTGCTACAATTAGGGGGCTGCATTTTCAGCCAAAATCAATACCAAATAATTGCTTACTGACAGAAGCTGTCCGCTACAATTAGGGGGCTGCATTTTCAGCCAAAATCAATACCAAATAATTGCTTACTGACAGAAGCTGCCTGCTACAATTAGGGGGCTGCATTTTCAGCCAAAATCAATACCAAATAATTGCTTACTGACAGAAGCTGTCTGCTACAATTAGGGGGCTGCATTTTCAGCCAAAATCAATTCCAAATAATTGCTTACTGACAGAAGCTTTCTGCTACAATTAGGGGGCTGCCTGGTATTTCATTTTCAGCCAAAATCAATACCAAATAATTGCTTACTGACAAAATTTTTGGAAAAGTTGCTCACTGACAGAAGCTCTATGCTATTAATTGCTTACTGACAGAAGATTTTTGCTACGGATATAAGATCGCTGCTATACAATTGTTTACTGACAGAAGATCTCTGCTACTGATTGCTTACTGATGGAAGATCGCTGTTATACAAAAAAAAAAATTCGATATCCACCTGCTAGGCGTTTCTGTTCGCCTGGTATCTGGTTTTCAGAATCGACCAATTTGGTTGTCCGAAACATCCCCCACAGCCCAAAAATCAAGAACTTCATTTGTTAGTTTTTATAATCTTTAATAATGCGACTTCTAAATAAATAATAATTCTGTTTCTTATGCTATATTAGAAGTACATATATTGATATTATTATAGTGTACATCCGAAATAGGGACATCGAGAAGAAATCTCCCAGCCGCCCAATTTCCACCAAAAAATCAAATAAATTAATCAATAATCGTTTCATATATTTAATTTAGCTTGTATAATCTTCACAAATTCGGTCTTAAAGCTAATAATGAGTAAGATTCCTGTGTTAATATTATAATATTTTATATTGCTGATCTGCTCCAGGAACAATATAGTCCAAATTTTGCCATAAACGCGAAGAAGGTCGTGCCGGTCAGCTGTTCTCGTTGGTCGATATCAACATTAGCGAGGAAGTATTATCCAGAATGGTCCGTGTTTTCAGGGTCTCCAAAGCCGCGCCTTGCTGTCGTCGCCGCTTCCTTTGTGATCATCCATATTGAGCTGCTAAATATACAAAATGGTATAGAAAAGATTATTATAAATAGGTTTTGTAAATTAAAATGCAGTTTTTTTTTAAATAAAAAAATCTATAAATCGATCTAAGAACAAATTCGTTATGTTTTTTAAATTATCTGTTTTCTCATAGTGAAAACATTGGTTTTGCGGGATTTCACAATGAACAGACAATTTTTGTAGGTCAATGGCCAAATTTATGAATTAAGTTCAGTGCATAAATTACGTGTGCCCGTTCCGGAGTTCTTAGTTTATTTTACATTCTTGGGTTTGCTTTCCTTACCAGATGCATCCTAAGTCTGAGCTAGAACTTTGGCTCCTTTCGGACTATGCTTCCTTCAATTTGTACCCTTTAATTTAATGACAGTTTTTCACTACAAAGGCGAAAAATGAAATGCAAATTACAACAAGCACTGGCAGCATGGCAAGACTGACATGTCAGGGAATGGCCTCGACTTTTGAATGTGGTTATGCGCCTGGATGTGGATGTGGATGAGGATGTGGATGAGGATGAGAATGAGAATGAGGATGTGAATGTGGATGTGGGTCTAGGCCTCGATTCATCGTTCTCTGTTCAGTTGATTGTGGGCTCTTCATTAAACGCCAGCAAAAACAACAGCAATGGGTCACCGAGATCGACCGGCAGGCGTTGTTGCCGCTTCCGTTGCTGTTGCTGCATAAATAACGGCAGCGTTGAGCGATGCAACACGCACTTAAAGCAACACTAACAACAACAACAACAACAACAACATATCTACAACAACCAAAGCTTGCACGTTTTGCATACAAAGCAGAATACACCAGCTAAAAATCTAGTGGAAGAAACAATGTGACAGCAAGCTAGAGAAAAACAACAAGAAATGTGGAAAAGGGGAAAATAAAATCAGTTAAGTCCCCAGTCATACCCACTACTGATTCAGCTGTGCGTAAATAGAAATACATTTGAAGTTTGTTTGTAAAAAAAAGTCTTTTATACTTTACTGTTTTATGGGGGAAAAAAAATTAGGGTCATGGCTCCAAGTTAACCACCTTAATTACTTAGTCATCAATTAAATACAAGGCTCGGCGAAAAAGTAATTGGATTGTATGCAAAGCAATTTAAGGATCATAGCTCTTTTCCCTGGCGAACCAATGGTTGACATTTTGCAAGCACTTAACCTTTCGCCATTTTGAAAGCCACTATTGCCATCTTGCCTCTGTAATCGCAATGGCACGCACAAGCAATTGAAATTGTATTAAATTGAATTTTAATATATTGCAGAAATAACAGTAACAAAACCAAACGAAATGAAAACAAGAGGAAAGGCAAGAGCAGGAGCAAGAGCAGGAGAAAGAAATGGGTGAAAACGGGTTTCGCACTCCTAGCATTTCGTTTTCCTATCCCCTTTCTCCCGCGCTGCTAGCTGTCATGCTTTGAATTTAAATTTTACGCTGAAATATTAATAATTAAAGCCATTAGTTTTAGTGTCGGTGTCTGTGTGTGCACGAGCTTAAAAGTTTATGCATTTTTAACCTTCAAATAAACACTCGACACGTATGCAGACCAACAGTTTCAACACAAACCGAGTGCTGAGTACAGTGCGGAACATGAGCTTAATTCTGTCGGGAAAATAAAATGCATTTATGCAAGTGCTTGACAGTTATTATTCTTTAGACATCCCCTGCTGTTGGTTATTTTTTATTGCACTAAAATCTTTAACTAATTATTGGTATATACAAAATATCACGTATACGCAATGCAAGCCGGTCTTAAAATTGTTGATTAGTAAACCCAATAACTTTATTGTAACCCTTGAACCAAACATTTTCAATAAGTGGAGAAAGGCTCCTGTCCAAATCAACTTATGTCGCGCACTTACGTTTGGCATTTACATGCGGCTGCTCCTCTGTTCCTCTGCTCCTCACTTCGGCCACTTTTTTGTTGCTTTTTTTTCAACTTTCTGCCACGGCTCTTCCTCTTCCTCATCATGTGCGGTTTTTGTTGCCGCTGCTGTTGTTGTTGTTGTTGTTGTTGTTGTAGCTGTAGCTGTAGCTGGCAAT